GTACAACCGGGCAGCTCCGACCGTGTCTATTGTCGTATGGCACTCAGTGAAGTGAGCGCATTTGCCAAGAGCGTCGACGACTACCATGACCGCGTCGTACCCATGAGCCTCGGGGAGCTCGACGATGAAGTCCACCGTGACGGTGTGCCAGCGTTCGGGGGGGACTTCGGTCGGGTGTAGCTCTCCGTGCGGGAGCCTTCGGAGGGCCTTCGTGCCAGGATGTGCACTCAGTTTTACTAATAAAACTGTGGCTACTGGTGAAGGGCTGTACTCATAAAACCTGGGGGAGCTCATGCCAGCCATGGCTGGAGTACTGTGACAAAAATGTGACATTCAATCAATTGTGAATATCTCAATGAGTTTGACAGCTATGACTAAGATATTACCAGATATGGAAAGGCAAATCACCATTTTTTCAGGCCGAAGACCCGGATAAACATCTAGGTAGGCCTGTGATCTAGGGCAAAGGTATACACCCTAATTAGGCTAAAATTGATGTATCCTGACATAGCCATCAATGATACTGATGTCCATCAAAAATCGTTCCACATTGATCACTTTATCTTGATGCTATCAATCCCATCATCAATACTATGATCTAACACCCAAAAATGAATAAAATGGTTTTTTAAAAAGTGTGACATTTGTGACCCTTGAGCCCTTCCCCAGGTTTTATGAGTACAGCCCTTCACCAGTAGCCACGTTTTTATTAGTATTCCTGAGTGAATGAGCTGTTCGTGCGGCAGCACAAGTCGCAGGTCGCGACGTAGCGTCCGATATGGCGGGACATCTGTGGCCACCAGTAGTTGCGCGAAACCAGCTCTAGGGTTTTGAACCGACCGGCGTGTCCGGCGACTCGCGTGTCGTGGCAGAGCTCGATGATGCGCCTCCTTAGGTCCTTGTCTTTGGGGACTACAACCTTGCCGCGGAAGTACAAGAGATCGCCCGAGACGGCCCACTCGTCCGAACGTGATGAGCGGGGGCCCCGAACTTGACCTCGGACCTTCAAGAGTTGCCGGGCCGCAAGCGCGACGGGCTCCTCTAGGTCAGGCTCACCGGATAGCGCTTCCTTGATGTCGCGGACAAGTTCGGACCCAGGCCCAGAGACAGTGACGGCCTCAAGCACACGAACGTGGAAGAGCTCAGGGCGCAAGAGGGTGACGTCCGAGTTGTCTTCGGAGATGCCGTGGTCAGGCCGACGGGAGAGAGCGTCGGGGCGGCCCATCTGGCGACCTGGGATGTGGTGCAGCGTGAAGTCAAACCTAGAAAGGTACAACGACCATCGGGCTTGCCGACGGTTAAGGTGCTGTGCCTTTCGGAAATACTCCAAATTCTTATGGTCAGTCCAGATCTTGACCGGATGCGCGGCGCCCTCGAGGAAATGCCGATACTCCTCGAGTGCGCCGGATGATCGTGAGCATCTCCTTGTCGTGAATCTCGTAGTTGCGCTGGACATCATTTAAGCTTTTGGAATAGAACGCTACAGGGTGCCACTTCCCGTCCGGGGCAGATTGTTGTGAAAGAACCGCCCCTGTCGCATAATCTGAGCTGTCTGCTTCAAGTCGGAAAGGCCGAGAGTCGTCCGGGATCGCTAAGACGGGCTCTGAGACGACCGCGTCCTTGATGGCTTGAAAGGCGGCGGCTTCGGCGTCTCCCCAGGTCCATTTCTGGTCTTTCTTGGTGAGCGCAAAGAGAGGCTGCGCGAGGGCCGAGAAATCCCGAATGAACCTGCGGTAGAAATTAGCAAACCCCAGAAACTGCTGGACGTCCTTCTTGTTTTCGGGCGGAGGCCATGCGGAGACTCCGGCGACCTTAACGTGATCCATTTCGACGTGGTTGTGAGAGATGATAACCCCCAGGTACTCGATCGACGATTTCTCGAAGTCGCACTTCTCCTTGCGAAGGTACAGCTTGTGCATTTGGAGTCTCCGAAGGACTTCGCGGACGATCTCGCGGTGCTTACGGAGGTCCGAATGTGCGATAAGGATATCGTCGAGGTAGATCATAACGTCTCCTGAAAGAATGAGATCCTGGAAAATGTCATTCATCATTGTCTGGAAAGTCGCGGGGGAGTTTGTCAGGCCAAAATACATCACCAAAGGTTCGAACAACCCTCGGTTAGTCCGAAAGGCCGCCTTCCACTCGTCTCCTTCTTTAATCCGGACGTTATTGAAGCCCCAATGAACATCGAGTTTAGTGAAATAACGGGCACCCTTGAGCCTGTTGATAAGGTCATTAATCAACGGGAGGGGGTACCGGTTCTTAATCGTCATTGCGTTGAGGGCGCGGTAGTCCTGGACAAACCGAAGTCCTCTGTCCTTTTTCTTAACGAAGAAGACGGGGGAAGCCATCGGAGATTTCGAAGGGGCGGACACGGCCGGTAGCAAGTCCCTCCTTGATGAACTCGTCAAGTTCGCGCTGTTCAAGGGGGGAGATCGGATACACCTTGCAATTAGCGGGCTTTGCGTCGGGAACGAGTTCGATAGCATGGTCCCAAGCCCTGCGCTCTGGTAACGTGTCGAAGGCCGCCTAGGGCTTGGTTTGTAAAGATTTTGGAGGTTATCAAACAGTTTGATAAAAGTAGCCTCTGAAACTCTGTTTATAAACCGGTTTTCCCTCCTTGATGAACTCGTCAAGTTCGCGCTGTTCAAGGGGGGAGATCGGATACACCTTGCAATTAGCGGGCTTTGCGTCGGGGAACGAGTTCGATAGCATGGTCCCAAGCCCTGCGCTCTGGTAACGTGTCGAAGGCCGCCTAGGGCTTGGTTTGTAAAGATTTTGGAGGTTATCAAACAGTTTGATAAAAGTAGCCTCTGAAACTCTGTTTATAAACCGGTTTTTAGGTTTTATAAACCAACTGAGTCAATATGACCGGAGAGATCAAAATTGCCTTTTTAGGAAATTTTGTGCAGCAAATTTTAGTGTTTTAACTTCATGACTTTGAGATTCATAGACATTAGGGGTTGAAACAGCAAGGTTATATCAACTATCACTTGTAAGTTTGCATAACATGAATTAGTTATATATAAGTAACATGTACAATTTACTTATCAGCAGATTTTAGATCCCCTGTCATGAATCCTTTAGAACACTTAAAAATCATGATAACCTTGATAATAATTAATCTGTATGGTTAGTATAGTCTAGTCACATAGCCAAGCTCCCAATACTTACTAGGATTAATCATGATCAATATGGCAATATTAGCCCAAAGTGGGTTGAGATCCTACTTGATAAGAAACAATATATTATAATAGACCTATAAGATATAATCAAACCTACTAGCAGTATATAGCAGCAATATTGGTCTGGTTTGCTAGCTTCTTTCATTTTTGGGTGCTTACTAATATAAAACCATAAAACACGGGGTTTCCAACCAGGCTGTTTATAAACATATAAAACAGGGGTGTTTATAAACCGGTTTACCAACACCCCTGTATAAACCAAGCCCAATGCCGCCACAGTTACTTCCACCACGCCCACGGACTCCATAATCAGCTCGGCCACCATAACCCATTCCACTTTCAATTCGTGCTATGCTGCTTCGTCCGCTGACCTTGAATCATAATCACAGGCATTTATTATTTAGTTTTGCTCGCCGCTGTGACTTTCATAATGTCACATCACACAGCCACTCCGACTCCTCTTTTCAGACCGCCATGCGGTCCATGCCTGCCATGCGGTCCATGCTTGCCTTGGTTTGCGACTCACAGGGATGGCAGATCGTCAACCTCGACAAACTCAGCTTTCATCGTCCTCCGTCTTCCCTCAGCTCCCTGCTTTTCAGCTCCCGCGACTTCGAACTCGCTGAATATCTTGTCAACGCCGGCGAGTCTCTGGTGCTTCCGTATTGTCCTGGCAAGAGCATTTCCGTCGCCGGGCGGCTGAAAAAAATGCGCGCGTCACTCGCCCAGTGGTAATATGCTCAGTAACGGAGACATGAGCGCCGCTGATCTTGTCGTTCCAGTGCCTCACCCCTTCTTGACCTGCCGGAGGAACTTGTCTTTGAAATCTTCAAGCGGATCGACGAGTTTGTGGAGCTTTTTGTCTTCGGGTCTACCTGCCAGGCGATGTGGTATGTTGCGCGCCACATCATCAACAACTGGCTGCGGGACGAGCGCGGCAAAGTCTGCTGGACAGGCAACCGTCTTGGCTGTCTCCAACTTGCTGAAGGCTGGCAAAGGGCAGATTCCCCACTATGCACAATACAACCCAACAACCTCCCCATGACTCAATTCAAATTCTCGTTAAAGCCAGACCCGTCACTCTTCTGGAACCTCTGGCGCGACTCGGAAAGTGCGCTCCGCCATGCCTACCCCTCGTCTGTGTACCGCAAGTGCTTGTCTGACACTGAGAACATCTGCGGGGCATTTACTGCAGGCCATTCTGTGCGCGCACCCGCCCCGCTGCCTCCGGGACAAACCGTCCCCCTTAGCCGGTGTCCTGCGAAATCTCTCGAAGCAAGAATATATTCGTGGCAAGGCACTAACCGACCTGAAGGCAAAGTATCGCAATCTTGGCGAGCTGCACATATGCATCACATACGAAACTGCCCTTATCACACGTCTCTGTCTGTCTGGCTTGCCCGTGGAGTTGCAAGATAGTATCGGTATGCCTCAACTTGAACGCGAGTTCTGGGCGGGCGACAGCTTCGATTTGCTTCTTGACACCAAAACATGGGGGAATTCCGAGCGAGAAATGTGGAGAGATGCGACGGATGATACTGTGGAATTGATTGAGAAGATTTTAGCGGCGATACAGGAAGACAAGCATCATGGGGAGGGCGTCTAGGACTTCAACCTCTACTAGTTGATAACATTACTATCTACTGCCACTTGTCATATAGGGAGCTACTTAGTGTCCTGCGAGCCACTTCGGTAACCCCACTGGCACTCTCACAGAGGGTTTCGCAACAAGCGGGCTGAAAACCCACGCAGGATTTCGGAAATCGACAAAGTTCCAGATCGTATCTGGCTTCCATCCCGCCGTTTTCCAGCCATTTAGTTTCTGTGGGTGATACGGCAGTCCACCAGAAGGACCGGTGTGGTTGGCAACAACGCTCCGGTCATGGGCGATAAGGACGAGCACGTTGTCCGCCGCATCCCAGCGCGCGCGACTTTCTCAAGCGAGACCTCGGCCACCACAGGGTCCTCGTAGAACGAGTCTGGGGTGTCGGAGACCCGGAGGAGAGACTCAGATCGGGACAGAATGTCAAAAGCGCCGTCCCGCGAGCCGGGGGAGAAGAAGTAGTCGGTGGAGACATGTCCGCGGCTTGACTCTACGATGTGGGCGGGGCATGGGAAATTCGCCTGTAGTGCCGGGCGGGGGCGGGCTTCGCCGACGTGGTGGAAAGTGTCTCCAGCAAGCAGGATGAAAGTAGACGGGTTGGCTGTGACGCGGGCTAGGCCAGTTAGATGCCCCGCGATATGCTGGTATGACGTTAGTCAACGAGGAGAAGATGCTGGGGCCACATACACCCGGAGTGTCCAGCAAATAGAAGCTGCCGTCGCCAAAATAATCGACTGCTCGCAGGTCATTGATTTCCAGTGAAGACTTGGAAAAATCGATTGGAGTGATGTTCCGACCGCTGCTGGATATCAGTGTTTGAATCTGTTGAGACAAAGACTTAGGCTGACGCAAAATCGGACTCTTGCAGCGTAGCATTCGGATTGGTGGGATAAGTAGAAACGTCGGTCTCGGAGCCAATGACGAGCGATGTGGTATTTGGAAACTTCGACATGTCGCCCTAAAACACTGTTTCGTGCCGGGTAAGAGGGAAAAAGGGAAAGATCCGCGATCACCGCCCGAAATTCGGCTGGTCCGACGCGGCACTCAAATTTTCACATGTCAAACTATACTGGTCCTTGCACGTCTTGCTCCAACGCTAAGTCGCGCTCGCTCGCCAAGTCGCGCGAGGCCAAGGCCATTCTAATATACTGCTGGGAGCCGTGCACGGACCTATAAACATGGTCATGTGAGTAATTTTGTGCGTCGAGTAGCGGGAGAAAAATTTGGGTTTTGAAGCTGAGTGGGGTGGATTTTCCGAGGGTCTCGGGCATGAGTTGAGGGGAGGGTGATTCGGGCAGGTGTAAAGTTGTATATTCAGTATTTCTACGAGACACGCTAATTAAGAGACGTGTCGCGACGCGTTTGATGGCATTTCTGCACAAGTCCGTCATCCACGAACGCCGACCCAGGATTCTATCCCGTGCACAAGTCCATCGGACCTAAACCGCCAGAGCATGCTGGCCATCCGTCCCTCAGCACGAACGCGACGCGGCATGCCCCAACGCGACGCGCAAGTCCGCCTTCCGCTCCTCCTCGTCCTGCGCATTGTGTGGGCTACACACAGCCGACAGCTCGCAGGCCAGCCGTAGTGTTCGCCTCCGGCGGCCCGGACCTATGCAAAAATGAGCCTTGAATCGCGCAAAGAAGGTCAAAAAGTGCACCCAAAAATACCATCAATTTCTGATGATGCGGATGATCCGAGCGTCGGCACGTGTCGGGAGAGAGCGAAATGTGGCTTCGAGGCATACACTCGGCCACAGGACGGCAGTGCCGCCCCAGGGAACAAGTCTGCAATGCAAGTCAGCGAGGGGAGGCAAGTGCGCGCGTGTAAACGGGCAAGTCATAACGGCAACGCGTCAGTGAAGGTTGAGGGGAGATAGATGACAACGGTGACGACCAGAAGCAGCGCCAGGGCAGCAGCAGCCCTGATCGTGGCCACGACATCGCCATCAGTGCATCACGATAGCGGTCGGTGAGCACTGCACCGTGCTGGGACAGCAACGGCAGGAAGTGGGGCAGCCATAACGGTGCCGCAGCTGGGCAATAGTGGCGAGAACCGTCTTTGACGTTGGCGGGAGACAAGGCGGAGCCGTGAAGACAGAGCGGCAGCGGTGCAGCCACAACGATGGCGGAATCTTTCTCCTATCCGCAAGGCGTCGCCAGATAAAGTGGTGCGGGTTGCCTCCGCCTCCGACAGGCCGGATCCTGGGGACAGCCGAAGAAGCTTGATGCGCCGCATCGGAGGTGGCGCAGCCGCACAGACAATAGAGCCAATGTCCGCAAGGCATTGCCAGCCAGAGTAACGATAGTGGCGGAGTGATGCACCTGGCGCAATTGATGCGATGCAGGGTGGCGATGGGGATAGTGGGGGCAATGATAGAGGCAGCAACGGGAGCGGCAGCAGCAGTGAAGCCACCTTGACCGGGACGTCCACTGGCTGTGGCTCATGGGAGGCCGGTGGGAGCGCCGATTTCGGCGGGTTGATGCGGCGTATGTGTCGGGGGTGGCGCAACTTGGCCGGGAGACGGCCCGGAGGTGGCGGTGGCTAGAGCTCCACCAGGGACAGAGCTGGCCCTCCGACGGCGATGCAGTCCGGCAAAGCTGACAGCAGCAGGGCAGTGTACAGGCCCCAGCAGGGACATTTTGTCCAGTGGCCCCACATGCACATGGCCCGCCTTAAGTGGCGGGTTGATGTGCCAGAGGTGTCGGCCTTGGGTCAGGAAGTGGCGGCGGCTTGAGGTCAGCCAGGGACAGAGCCCTGTCTCAGACTGCCCTGCAGTCAATAACAATGTTAGGCCTCCGGCCATCAAAATCCTGGGCGAAAAGTGAGTCTTTGAAGGCCAAAAAGAGGACATCAAATGTGCTTACGTAAGCATCAATTGATCCGTGATTCCGGGTCACTTCCATCCAAATGGCCCATTTCTTGACAAACAAGTCAGTCTAGACGATGGGAGAAATGATAGGGACATACCAATATTCCGCCGTCTGGGCCAATCTTACAGCAAGCTTTGTTCTGCCATCAACGCTGACGCAGCGCACGCGCCAGCCGACAGCGGCAACAGCCAGTAAAATCCTACAAAAATGGTCAATAAGAAGCAAAGAGCAAAATCAGATGAGCGCACCATGAATCAGCGACCATCCGTCATCCGAGCAGAGGTTCTCCCTCCATTTCAACCAGAGCTTCAAGTCAGAGAAGCAGAAACTGTAGCGGGCCGGAGCGGATCTCCGCCGCCGCTCCAGTATAACAATCTGATAAATGTCTTACCTGTGATATTCAGCGCGCTGCCGCTGATCTTTGCACTCCACTATGATGTCATCTTTTTTGTAGTATATAAAGCTTGTAGTAGTTAGAGTTTCGGGGAGAATATCTTTTACGCCTGTTTTTGCGCCCTTGTGATCCGTGTGGCGGCACCTTAGTCAGCTTCCGTCACATATTTTGAACAGCTCGCTCATCTATCTACGCTCTGTCTGGCTACCTCGGTCGACACCACCATTGCTGCCGCTCTGCGCTGATAACCAACTCTCTCCACAACCCAACGATGACTTCCTCTGGCTACCCGACCCGTGCCGCGACACGCGCTGGGCGCTTTCCCGCGCCGAAGATCCCCCGCGACACCCCTTCGACCTCGCGCTCCTCCACTCCGACCTCCCGTCCCGTCAGTCCCGTGCTGTCTTACAGCCGCGTGGTCGCTGGTGGTGATACCCCCCGCTTTCGAGCGGCGCGCTTCTAGCGCACAGCTCTCTGAGCTGCCGTCTCTTCGAGACGCGGACTTCGGTCCGGCCTTCGGGCACTCCGGCTCTGCCGCACACGATGTCCCAGATTGGACTCGTGTTACTTCTCGTAATGCACGGTCACACCGTTCGCGGTCGTCGTCGCCACGTAGCGTTCATCGTGTCGATAGCCATCGTACCAGTAGTAAAGCGGAATTTGAGTCCGAGTCTACCGTGAGACGCGCGATGCGCGGAATGAGTCGAGATGAGCTGCGAAGACTAGCTCGTCGACACCAGGCGATTGCACATGAAGCGCTGAGTGCCGCCTCGTTGCCGTCTGAGGACGAGCCGATCCCTGAGCCAGATGGTAGTCATCTGAATGACGAAGACTCAGATAGAAACACTGAAAAGCAGTCAGAGATTGAATATGGTGAAGCAGCAAGAAGCTCACCAGATGAATTGATTGATTTCCGCGTGAGTCCCGCCATTCCGACTGGCGAAGGCCCTTCCCGCAACAAGGGGAAAGGTGCTGACCCCAGGAACTGGGGCGCTGTCGAGTCCTTACTGGACTTTGACGATGATGAGCTGGAGAAGCAGAAGGCCGCGTTCTTGAGCTATCAAGACGGTCGGCATGCAATCAAGCTCGAGCGAGTGTCCCCAGCTCGCAACCAGACCCCCGACTATCGGCGCTCGAAGCCGATGATGCCTCGTAACGAGGACGAACCCCTGCGACGTGCAGCGGTTGCTTCGGAACGGCTGTCGAAAGACCGCCGCCCCCGAGATCCAGAAATGCCTGGCCAGGCGCGAACTGAAGAGATTGCTCAGCTGGAAGCACAGCTGAGACGATTGAAGCAATCTGAAGACGAACTGCACTTACCGCGACAGCCGTCGAGCAAAGCGAAGCTCGCGGTTGAGAAGAACCTCCACGATATGATTCGTGGTGCAGCCACGGCCAAGTCGCGCTCTCGAGCGAGAGAGGCGACTCCCCGAATCGCCGCGGGAAGCTTCGTTCACAAAGCCATCCATGGCGCGCCACGTACTCGGCGCCGCCATGACCCTCCGTCGTCCGACCCATCCGACTCCAGCTCTTCGAGTTCTGCTGATCATGGTCAGCACAATTTGTCAAGCGGATCGGACTCGGAAGCGGACGAGGGACGGACCTTGGTTCCCCACTCTCGTGTGCCGGCTGGCGCCAGCACTGGTCCCCGCTCGCGGCACCGGATGCTCTTGAAGCCGATACCACCTACGAAATATAATGGTGAGCCAAGCGCAACTGCGTTCCATCGCTTCGTTCGTGAAGGAACGGCATATGTCAAAATGGGACGCGTACCTCGAGAAAACCGTGTTTTCATCCTTTCATACTTCCTGGAGGGGAAAGCAAGAGACTTTTACAATCAGATAGTCGTGCAGAACGAAGATTCGTACAGACTGACCGTGTTCTTTGTGGCCATGTTCGAGTTCTGCTTCCCGATTGACTTCCGGAGTAAGCAGCGGAAGCGGTTGAACCGCTGCACGCAAGGCAAAGCCACGGTTGCCTCCCATATTGCAACGTTTGCCCAGTTGTACAATACGATTGGCCTTGTTGACGACCAAGAAAAAGTCGTGAAGCTGTGGAACAGCTTTCGCGCCGATATCCGCCAAGAAATGTATCGAAAGGACCTCGATCCTGAGGTCTCGATGTGGGACGAAGTCGTTCGTGCCGCGGAACGAGCAGAAATGCTACTGAGCCTTAGCTCAGACGATTCCGACTCGGGATCTGACGATTCGTCGTCCTCTGGAGATGAGAAACCGTCCCGACACGGTTCCGGAGGGCGTGAGCCCGATTCCAAGTCGAAAGACGATTCCCGCCGCAGTGGCAAGCGCGCGAAAGCGCATACGCGTCGGGAGACGATGCGGGCAGCTTCTGCTGAGATCCCCACCGCCAAAGACCAGCCAAAGCGACCCAGGATGTCGTTGAAGCGTCGGAACGAGATGCTGGCCAAGGGCTTGTGTTTTACTTGCGGAGAGCAAGGCCACCTGGCTAGAAACTGCCCGGAAACGACGACAATGAAGTCGAACGTCAACGGAAAGCCTCCAGGCTTTGGCGCGCATGGCGTTGACTTTGACGAGCACGCCTCGGCGCTGTATGAAAGCACCGAGGTGCTGGAGACGCTCCCAGTCGGAGCCATCGATTTTGGCGTCGTCCAGCCGATAACTCGTGAAATATCGCGCAGCTACCTTCGGAATGCGACTCAAAGCGCTCGAATGAAAGTCGAGGAGGGCGGGGAGTCCACCAAGCTCTTGAACGATAAGATTTTCGACTTTTTCGGCGCAAATCACGCACCTAGATACCCAATTGGCGATTTACTCGCCGCGAACGCCTCCCGAGCGTTGAACCGTGCCCAGCCGTACCCAGGCGATGAGGAACAGCTGAAAAACGAAGTTAGATTCGTTGTCCAACGAGTTTCAGACCAGACATACCTTGTGCGCGACGACGCGACGCGAGGCTTTGCATTTGTCGCCTCAGATTGTCTGGAAGACCCAGACTTTAGACTGGCGCTTTGGTACGCAGAGATACGCGCCGAATCGCTCGGTTTGTCGACTAAGAAGCTTGCAGAAGAACCCCGATTTGCTGAGCCACTGGGTGACGCGCTTCTTGCCGGCGCTCAGCTTCAGCTTGACACGGCATTTGGCACCGTGCTGGAGGGCGGAACACGCCGGAGTCAGTTCCTCATTCAACGATATGAGGAATCACTCACTGTTGTCCACTACGAGCACGATTTACAAGTCGAAGTGCCGACGAGATGGATGTTAGAAGCAAGATTTGATCTCATCACGTGGATCTCACGTCAGATGAAGATCACGCTCACACATGGTTCGAACGCCAACATGAAATGTTCAAATGATTTTTCAACTTCTGAGATAGTCTCTAAAGACTATCTGGAGGGCGCATGTAGCGGGCCGGAGCGGATCTCCGCCGCCGCTCCAGTATAACAATCTGATAAATGTCTTACCTGTGATATTCAGCGCGCTGCCGCTGATCTTTGCACTCCACTATGATGTCATCTTTTTTGTAGTATATAAAGCTTGTAGTAGTTAGAGTTTCGGGGAGAATATCTTTTACGCCTGTTCTTGCGCCCTTGTGATCCGTGTGGCGGCACCTTAGTCAGCTTCCGTCACAGAAACCGATGCCTTCGGCGTTAAAGAACCTGGAAGCAGTCAGCATCGTGTTGCGGGAGGTCAGGGAGGATGACATACTGGTATCGAAGGCCGGGCCGTTGACGACAGATCCATCGCCGTCTGGAGTCTCTGGCGGCCGTCTCGCCCGAAAACCAGCTGTTTGCGGTGGGGAAGCCTACGTTAACATATCAGGAACCGACCTACGCGCCACTTGGAGGTAACTCACCAGCAGAATAACATCCAAGCAGAGGTTCCCCCTCTCGTACCAGCGCCGTCGACACCATCATCATCGCGGAGGAAGCTGCAAGGGTGTTTGAAGGTGCAATAAGGCAAGAAAACTCCACGCACAATAGTGGCCCAAGCATGTTGGCGGCATAAGCAGGGGTCTTGGCAGCGAGTACTGGTGTCAGGGCCGTCGTGCTTGCGGAAGAGAGAGTGTTGGTGGACAGAGACATTTGGGGTCGAGAATGAGGGCAACGGAGCACTACAAGGCCATTAGTCCGCGCAGTGCAGGAGAAGGGGGAGAAACGGTGCTTACCGAGGACGATGGTGGTGGTTGAGAGTCAAGAAGCGATTGGACGCGTGACTTCGTTGATACTTTGATGAAGCGTCACTTGTACACAATCGGCGTGGATGTCGGAGTCAGGGCCCTTCGCGAAGCAAGGCGCCACTGCACGTGTGCCTAGGAAAGCGAATAGGTGTGGCTCGAGGCTGCTCGCCGTTGGGTGAGCAAAACAGCAGTGCGGTGGAAAACAGGCGTACTGACAGTGAAAGGGACGGCAAGGACCCTGAAGACACGACGGGCGGAGAGAGCGTGGAGGGAGCTGGCGCGTAGCGATGGCGACTTGAACTTGAAGGTGATGGTATGAGAAAGAGTTGGGGGAAAGGTTGGGTAAGTTACCTAGGGGAGGTGCCTGGGCTATCGGCAGAAGGGCGAACTGTCAGGCTGTAGGGCATGGGTGTCGAGGGCAGCGAGGACGTGGACGCGTTTGCGACGAGGATGATGGGCAAAGGAAAAGAAGGTTGACAGGCGTTGTAACGCCGGGGTGATGATCAGCCGCCGCCGATGCCATCGGTGATAAGGGCTAAAAATGATGAACACGTGTAGCAAAATTCGGAAGAAGCTGGCGGATGGTGGTGAGGTGTCGGAGAAGGTTTGAGGGTACCTGGCACATGTCCGGGAAGTGTTGCGGTACTTGGGCGGTGAAATGGAGCGAAGCAGCACTCATTGACGGGACGTGGAGCGGTGCGCTGAAGGAACCCTGCTCAATGCCGCCGTTATTGGTTTCTTCGTCTAGTTGTGTGTTCCTCTTTCCTTCTTGTATCTTGCCCAGTTCAGTTTGCCCGGCATTTTTCCCTCTCACGATGTCTTTTTCAAGTTTTTGGTTGATTTTTGTCCCAAGGAACCCCCGCAGAACCTCCATTGCATGCTGGAGCACTTGCAATTTGGTCCTTTGGTCAGGTCTGTGTTGTTTGTTGGCGACTGCACTTGCTCGACGCCGCGGAATTCCAAGAGGATAATTCCATCAATCGCGGAAAATGTGAATCCACAGCGGCGCAAGCGCGGCAATCGGCATACTTCTTATTGCGGCCCAGTTTCTTGCTCGCTTCCACGCCAACTCCGCACTTACAGCGCTGACATCGCGCTGAGAATGCCGCGACTCTCAAATTCTGGCTTCTCAATAACCTTCCCTCATGCTCTCGACCGCGCTCCACAGCCCATCAGTCACCCCTCAGAAGCCTATATAAGACCCTCATTCTGTCTCTCCCACCCATTTCCCTCTTTCCCTCCTCCCTTCATCTTCGCTTGCCCACTTCCCGATTTGGACGTCTTGGCAAAGTCAACCCCACGTGATCGCTCCTCGCTTATCCTCGGCTTCTTTCCGCCGCTCATCTCACCCTCCAGACTTCGCCCGTCGTCGAGGCCGTCGTCTGCGCGCATGCTGTCAGTAAGAGTCCTGCTTATACCTTCTCATTACTTACCCTTTTGCAGCTCACACTTGCGCTTGAAGACTAGGTTTGCGCTCCCTTTGGTTGTGCCCGACATCTGGTGCGTGCCTTCCTGGCCGTCTGCTCACGTTGTCATAGTGACAATATCGCCCGTTTCAGGTGGGAACTGTCCATGGCGGGGCACGGGCTGCTGGTGCGTCATCATACTGACTTTGTCTATCTTTCGCTGACGGTCTATGTCGTCACTGTCAGCTGGCGCGAAGCTCCATTGGTGCGTGGGCTTCCATTTACATCCACTTTCCGCGCTGCGCCGTGTCTTTGCTCTCCAACTCCACATGTCCTGTCGCTTCCACATACTTACCCTACACGAACACTTTGCTATACGATACCTCTTTCAAGTTCCCTCATGCTTCACTGCCATCCCGAGTCCTTCATCTTATCCATCTGCCTCTGACCTGTGGACTAACGACGACCAGATTCAAATCTACAGCACGGTCAGTCTCTTGCGTGCGCTCGGTATATGCGAACGCTTACCCTCTCCAGTTGACCCTTCCTCCGCCGTCGGTCCTCCTGCGAATGAACACGAATACTCACATTGTTTTCTCAGACTTGCTGTCATCAAGTATTCGCGTGCGCTGTCCCCCCTGGGTTATTTGCGGAAGACGGGGAGCTCGGCGTGGCCCGAAATGCGCGGACGCGGCGCATCGACAGCAAAGCTGCTGACAGCAAGTGCAAACTCCACATACTTGTCTTCAAACCGCGACTTACCCTGCGTCAGATCTGTTTGGTCGTTCCCCTCGTACTCGCTGTCCGCATTACTGACCAAGGCTTGCAGATGGATAGCGAAGACACTTTCCGTGAGTGCAAACATCATGTCTCTGCAAACCATAGCTTACCCGCTGCAGCCCCGTCTTCCCGCTGTTATACTGCTGCCTCTCGGCGTCCTTGCTGTCCATTACCGCCCAGAACGAGCCGCTGCGACCACAGCTGTCGACACAGCATCAGTTTGCGCGATATGCATCTCAGTTTGAGCATTACTGAGCGAGTTCTTCAGGTTCCTGCCCTGGATTCTCCCGGGTGACGCGTTCACGGACAACGTCCGGCGTGGCGCGTTTGGGGCCGCGTTGGACGGCGCATGCGCAGCCTGTTGGTCGCCAGATTGCTGGGGTAAGTCCCGCTCTTGAAATCGTCGCTTACAACGTCTAGAACGACCCAGAACGCTGCTAATCAAGGATCGATCTTGATTCCGCCATTGCTGACCCGGGCCGAGCTTTGCAGGTTTCTGGCTGTAATTCGGCCCGGCGGTGCGCGCGCGATGGGTGCTGACGACTGCGCGCTTGGGGGCGCGGTCGTGCCAGATTATCGACCAGGCTCGCTCGGTACCCAGCTTGTCTTGTATCCGTCGTTGCTGACTGGATTTTGCAGGTTTATCGCTGGAGCTCGGCCAGGCGACGTGTTTTCAATGGAGGTCGAACGGCGCGTTCCCGGCCTGTTAACGGCAAGAGTGCTGTTGTTAGTCCGGCATCGCGTGCTTACTGCCTTGCAGATGCCCTTCCTTGGGAGTCCAACGCGCCGCGTTGCCTATGTCGTCAGTATCGTTCGCTGCCAACCGGCGCCTACTCGTTGGCAGCGTCGTTCGTTGCCCAGCGCCGCCCGGGACAAGTCGATCTGGCCGACTCTGGTCATCGCGGAGCCGGGTCGGTGTCAGACGCAAGGCTGCCGTCTTTAATGATAGAGTCGCCGTGCTGGCCGTGCTGAGTTGATTTTAGGCTAGCGGGACGTTTCGGGGAGGCCCCGGGAGCATACGGGGTGTGTTGGTTGCGTGAGTGAAGTGGTAGAGTGTCTCGAGACTTTGTTAGTGGTGTGGTGGGATGAGGGCCGGGCCGGCGTGCTGCTGCGGTGGCGGCTCTGTCAAGCGCGGGGTGCATGGTGTACATATATTGATCGACGATGAGCGATCGAAAACGCGGCCGCAGGCCATTCCACACGCCCGCTGCCTCCGGGACAAACCGTCACCCCCTTAGCCGGTGTCCTGCGGAATCTCTCGAAGCAAGAATATATTCGTGGCGGGGCACTAACCGGACCGGACCTGGCCATCACTAGAGCCGGGGGAGAAGAAGTAGTCGGTGGAAACATGTCCGCGGCTTGACTCTACGATGTGGGCGGGGCATGGGAAATTCGCCTGTAGTGCCGGGCGGGGCCGGGCTTCGCCGACGTGGTGGAAAGTGTCTCCAGCAAGCAGGATGAAAGTAGACGGGTTGGCTGTGACGCGGGCTAGGCCAGTTAGATGCCCCGCGATATGCTGGGATGACATTAGTCAACGAGGAGAAGATGCTGGGGCCACATACACCCGGAGTGTCCAGCAAATAGAAGCTGCCGTCGCCAAAATAATCGACTGCTCGCAGGTCATTGATTTCCAGTGAAGACTTGGAAAAATCGATTGGAGTGATGTTCCGACCGCTGCTGGATATCAGTGTTTGAATCCGTTGAGACAAAGACTTAAGCTGACGCAAAATCGGACTCTTGCAGCGTAGCATTCGGATTGGTGGGATAAGTAGAAACGTCGGTCTCGGAGCCAATGACGAGCGATGTGGTATTTGGAAACTTCGACATGTCGCCCTAAAACACCGTTAAATTGCAATTGCTTCAGTATCAGCGTCCGGCTCACGATATGGTCAAAATGCGCATGACTGAGAATGACTGTTAGTAACGAGTAATAGACTAAGCACTGGCAAGGCCACGCACCTCCAAATAACGCTCTCTATGCTGCTTGGCGCAATGCCTGCCTGTCCGAGGAGGTCGAAAATGTCCGTGTCAAAGTGAGACGGCGCGAATTGGCCACTCGCGAACGGCGCAGCCAGGCTGGGCACAAAGTTGAGGGGGTCTTTGCGGATGCCGAGGTCAAACATGACCTTTCGCTGCCCGTGTTGCACGAGAAAAGCGTACATCGGCAGCTCCATCATGTCGCGGCCAGGAATGACGGGGAAGATGAGGGTGTGGAACTGGTTTTGGGCGGTGATGTTGCCGATATTGAAGCGTGAGATGGAGACAGTCGCATTGGAGGAGGGGATGTCAAAGGTCGTGGAGTACTTATTGTGAGGCAGCATGGACAGAGGACAGCCCTGCAACAAGCGCCAGTGCTGCGAAAGCTTGTGGAACTTGAAGGGAGAGCATCGTTTTCAAATTCGCTTGGTGGAGAAGCCACTGGCATTTGCTGAGACTTTTATACTCAAAAGGTCGGCGGCAGGTGGGGCTGACGTGATGGGGATCCGTTGGTCAGCCTATGCTTGCAAATCCTGGAACGTAAGTCGGTCCCGACAAGCTAAAGGAGTCAATACTCAGCTTGACATAGCTGGCGGCTTCCGGGATTCGTTAGAGGCTCATTATGCGTTGCATTGGTGTTCGTGAATTATATTGCCCCGTTCTTTGCCTAGGTATCGATTGGGGACCGTCGAAGACCTAGAGCTATCCCTTCGAAATCGTCGTGCCAGGTAAGAGAGAAAAAGGGAAAGATCCGCGATCACCGCCCGAATTCGGCTGGTCACACCATCTAAGCGAAGTTTATGCAGCCGGAAAGCTTCCCGAAACAATGTACTGCACCTTACTGTCACTACAGGCGGCAGGACTCGGATGTTTAGGGCGCAGATAAAGCCAAGATGGACCCCACTGGGACGCAACGGACCGGGCTTGCTTCACTCGGGTCCCGCCGGAAACGAGAAGAGTGATCCAATATTAATGTCAATGCTGAATGAATGGGGCCGATGGAACATTTCTGCGGTCACTAGCTGAGATATATGTATCTATCAGTAACACCATGAAGTGACCATTTCCTCCTCTTATGCACTCGTTGGGGGTGAAGTGTTGCACGAATCGAAATAATCACTCAACTCTGCTTCAATATCCCAGGGAGTTGCGTGTGGTGCGCTTTGCGCTGGAGACTGGGCCTGCCTCCCAGACATTTGGCGGGACGATATCCAGTTGCGGGACGCCGTCACCCATCCACAAGCCCGGTCGCTGGCCAAGGGCAATGGCGCGGTTATGGTACTCCACCACCGCCGCTATATTTCGCATCAGCAAGACAGCCGAACAAGCTTAAAAAGAATGCAAGCTTGCCAGCGTGTTCGTGCGGGGGCGTGCCCGCCTCGGTTTCGGTGCATTTAGCCTCGAATTCGCGGCAGACAATGCAGCGCAGATTGGGGGTATTTGCATTGGGCTCGGCGATGTCGATGAAGAGGCATGGCAGTTGAAACTTGAAGCACCGAGTGCAGGGTGTCTGCGACAAGTGATGAGTGCAAGACAGCGCGGATGATTCATATAAGAATTACCGCGGCAAGGAGTACTTTCCCGTAAGAGCCAATCTATGTCACAACGGAGTCATCCTTTTGAATGACCGGAGAAGGGTAGCTTACGGGTGCTCGTTTGCGCGCTCTTGGATCGACACCGCCTTTGATTCGCGCCTCTGCCCGCGCAAGGTCGAAGAAGTCCGCTAGGTAGTAAAACTCGGCCCAGTCATTCCCCAGTGGCGGGCGTGGAAGGGAGTAAGTATCCCAGTCGATGACAACGGGCGGGGCCGGTGGAGCAGCCAACATGTCGGTGATGGTAGCGAGAGGTGGTAGCGGACTAGGCTCTCGTTTCACAACACCGACTTCGCGTGGTAGCGGGGAGGATTTCGTTGGGCTTGGTTTCACTAGTTGGGCTGCTTTCTGTTGTAAACATTAGTAGAAGCTACGAATGAACGTAGGCACGAACTACCGTGACAGGCTTCTTCTTCTTCTTCTCCGGTGTCTTGAATGCAAGAGACTCGCAGCGAGTCATCAACTATATCAGTCAAGGTTCTATAAGCAGCGGAATAGCTGAACGCGCACCTGTCGTATCTCCTCCAACTGGGCCGGTGTAGCGGCAGCGCTTGTCTTCGAGACTATGTCCAGTTTCATCTCAACGAGTTTCTGTACTTGGTTGTCATTTCAGGGCCGTGCGGCCACAGAGACGTGCCTCGCTCATTTCCAGCCGACCCTTCAGCATTCCAATGGCAGGCTCGTTAGGCTCCTTTGCATTGGCTTTCTCGAGTTCCTAGAGCCACTCTCAGCCACTCATAATCCGAGCAATGATGGAAACTCACCGCTAGTAAGGCTGCCTTGTGCTTCTCGGAAGCCTCCAGTTTCTCCTTCATATGCGCCAGTAACTCGCTCAGCGACGTTTCGTCGCCGGTCCGCATGGTGGTCAACCACAAAAAATTGACAGGTGACAGCCTGAGATAGTTTATGGCCCGAAAAGCCGAAGGAGATTTCTCACCTGCAACCTCCATGTCGCGATTGGAGGTCCCCTTCAAAATCGACGTTCCGGACGCGGCTCTTGAGGAACTTTCCAAGAAACTCGCTCTCGCGCGGCTTCCAGATGAGTTGGACGAAGCTGGCTGGGATTATGGTGTCCCACTCGACGACATCCGGCGTCTGCTAGTTAAATGGCGGAACGACTACGACTGGCGGGTGCACGAGCGGCAGCTCAACGCCGAGCTCCCGCAGTTCACGATGGACATTGCGGTCGAGGGCCATGGCTCGCTCAGCATCCACTACGTCCACCAGAAAAGCGAGCGGGTGGATGCGATTCCGCTGTTGTTCGTTCACGGCTGTAAGTGTTTTCCTCTGTGTTTCTGCCGCTAACTGGTGCCAGGGCCCGGCAACTTCCTCGAAGTCCGCAAAATCCTGCCTCTGCTTGTCGCTGCATCGCCAGAACATCCCTCTTTTCATGTGGTCGCGCTTGGTTTACCCGGTTATGGCTTTTCCGAGGCACCCAGGAAGAAGGGCTTCCGTCTAGACCAGTACGCGGAGGTGGGGAACAAGCTCATGCTGGCGCTCGGCTACGATGAGTATGGTGTGTCGTCTCGCGCAGACTCTCCTTGAGCTCATGCATGCATTAGTAACCCAAGGAGGCGACCTCGGCTTCCAAATAACGCGGCGAATCGCACGCAACTATGGCCCCAAACACAGCAAGGCATGGCATACAAATTTTCCAATGTGCGTCATTGTCTACGGTCTCATTCTCTTACCCCGCCCGAACAGTGCCCAACATCCATCTCTCTTCGCATCCCCGCTGTCGTACCTCCAGGCGCTGGCGACGCCCTACACCGACTTTGAGAAAGTAGGCCTCGCGCGCTCCCGTTGGTTCGAAAAGAGTGGGCGAGGCTACTTCTATGAGCATTCGACCAAACCACAAACCCTGGGATACTCTCTTGCGGACTCGCCGGTCGGGCTGCTCGCCTGGCTTTACGAGAAGCTGGTTGCGTGGACGGACAACTACGCGTGGGAAGACGACGAAGGTACATATCACTCTTTCTTCCGGTCCACTTGGATTGATCCCCCCTAGTTCTGACCTGGGTATCCAGCTATTATTTCTCGCGCGCGGGCCCTGCGGCATCAATACGCATATACTACGAGCTGGCCAACGGCGACAAGCGCTTCCCGCCCCGGTCAGAGGCGCCGACGATTCCATTCGGGACTTCGCATTTCCCAAAGGAAGTCCTCATCGCGCCCCGAATGTGTGTCTCTTTTATATCTCATTGCTTTACTCAAACTACGCTAGATGGACGCGCCTGTTGGGAAACCATGTCTTCGAATCCGAGCATGCAAATGGTGGGCATTTTGCCGCTCACGAGGTACCTGAGCTGCTGGTGGCCGATGTGAGAAAGATGTTTGGCAAGGGCGGGCCCGCGTATGGCGTCGTCCCTGGTAGAACTGGGTATTGAAGCAAGCAAATAGCAAACAATGTAACCAGTGTGAAAGCGTGTTCCAAAGCGACAAGTATGCAAAATCTTCTCGAAGAGGAAACTTTGAGATATACTAGACAGGCTGGGGCTACGCCCCAGCTTCAAATATTGTTTCACAATTTTTTGCAGACTGAATATGCCAATTTTATTCATGAGTTTATGAAATATCAAGGTCTACATGCCCTCTATACTGATATTACAGCCAAGAACAACATCACAAATAGCCTTAGATTGGACTTGTTTATGGTACTTGATGTTAAAATTGGTGATTGATTTGAGGACGCGATCAAAAGGAGCGAGGATTTGTTTGCAATCGCAAACTGGTTAGAGTTCGATGCGTTAGGGCAAACGATGCCCAACGCTGTACTTTATTTTATCTTATATACTGTTTTAGATCCTTCTAGTAAGTTCTATATGAATCAGCAACATTTGAGTCAGCGCAGGAAAGGAAATTGCTGGAATATTCGCGGCGAGTCACAACTGTGACCATCATAATTTCAACACTCCCCCATGACGAGCCGCTCCCCCATGCCGTGCTCCCCCATCAGTCGCCGTCCATCGATACCTCCGGCCACACACAGTACACCATGTGACATAGCTATTGGCAGTCCGTCGCCAGCTCATGCGCCCCATCCGCAAGTGTCGCACACTTCGGATTGCCGAGGCCTGTGTGCCCGGATCTTCACGGGCGGTTCGGGTTCTACTAGCCATGGGCGCCGTCGGGAGTATTCGGAAGGAAGAAAAAGGTGGGAATGGAATGGATTTGTCGATTAAAGTGTGGTGTAGCGTAGGAATGGATTTGCATAGGTGAAGGTGAATTTGGAATTAGAAGCAAATATATTCTTCATCGTCTTCTCCGTACTCATCTCCTTCGTTGTCGTCGAGTGCGAAGTTGGCAATGTCTGTGCCAGCGGGTGACAGGCATTGGCGCGCGACGTGGCCTTTGCCGCCACAACGGAAGCAGGTGGGGTTGGCCTTGCCGGTATCAGGGCCGGGGGTGGAGTTGGAGGTTGGGGCGGGTGGGAAACGCTTGGCGGATTTGCCGCGGGCAACCATCGCGGATGGCGTGTTGCTGGATGGCTCGGCGTCAGGTGGGTTACGACGGCGTGCTTCCATCAAGATAGCCGCGTGGACTTTGGTGGGCTTCTTGAGCATTTCCGCATCAAGAGCGGCTGACGAGACCCAAGAGTCCCAGTCGTCCGGCATAGAAGTGAGTAGAGCCAGTGAGAGAACCGGGTCGGCAAGCGGGTAACCGAAGGTGCGGAGTTCCTCGGCATTAGTCTTCATAATGCGCAGATGGTCTTGGATATTGCCATCAGAGGTAGCGCGGGTAGAGAATAGCTG